TTGCCCATACCTCCACCATCCCGGTCACCACCTTCTTTACTACCTCCACCTCCCAGGTCTCTACCATCTTCTCCACCTCCTCGGTCACCCCTAACACCACCACCCCAATCTCTGCCTCCTCCATCACCTCGATCTCCGTCTCCACCACCACCCCGATCTCTACCTCCCCCACCATTCCGTTCACCACCTTCTCCACCTCCTCAGTCTCCCCCTCTACCAATTCAACGACCACTACCTCCGTAACCAAAATCTCCACCTCCATCTCCACCCCGATCACTACCACCTCCCCCACCAAAGTCTCAATCTTCTCAACTTCCTCCACCTCTTAGGTCTTTTCCTCCACCTTCACTGTCACCTCGTTCACCAGCTCTGTCGACACCACCTTCACCACCCCAGTCACCACTTCTTCCACCACCTTCACCCCCACCTCTGCGGTCTTTATCGCCTCTTCCACCTCCACCTCCACCTCAACATTCACCTCTACCACCACAACCCTGACCTCCACCTCTTCCACCACCACAATCTCCGCCTCCACCACCACCTCGTTCACCACCTCCTCCATCTCCCCAATCTCCTCCTTCACCAACTCAATCACTACCACTTCCCCCACTCAAGTCTCTACCTCCGCCACCTCCTAGGTCTTCTCCTCCACCTCCATCGTTACCCCGTCCACCACCATCGTCATCACCAACTCCACCACCCTGGTCACCACCTTCTCCACCACCCCTACCTCTCCAATCTCCACTGTCTACTCCACCTCCACTTGTATCTCCACCTCCCTGGTCACCCCCACCACCACCACTCCGATCTTCGCTTCTACCACCGCCTCGATTTTTGCCTTTTCCAACACCTCGATCTCCGTCTCCACTACCACCCTGTTCACCACCTCCTCCACCTCCCCAGTCTCCCCCTCCACAAACTTAATCACCACCAACTCCCTCACCCAAGTTTCCACCTCCTAGGTAGGTTTTCTCCTCCACCTCTACTATCGCCCCGTCCACTACCCTCGTCGCCCCTACCTCCACCACCCTGATCATTACCTTCTCTACCACCCCCACCTCTCCGGTTTCCACTGCCTCCTCCACCTCCTCATTCACCTCCACCACCACCATTTCGATCTCTGCCTCCTTCACCACCTCGATCTCCGCTTCCACTACCACCCCGATCTCCGACTCCTCCACCACCTCGATCTCCGCCTCCACTACCACCTTGTTCACCACCTCCTCCACCTCCCCGGTCTCCCCCTCTACCAACTCAATCACCACCACCTTCCCAACCCAAGTCTCTGCCATCTCCTCCACCCCGATCACCACCACCTCCCCTACTCAAGTCTCCACCTTTTCAACCTCCTTCACCTCCACTGTTACCCCGTCTACTAGCTCTGTCGCCCCCACCTCCACCACCCCGATCACCACCTCCTCCACTACCGCGGTCACCACCACCTCCTCTACCTCCATCTCCACCTCCACAGTTACCTCCACCACCACCACTCCAATCTTCGCCTCCTCTACCACCTCAATCTCCGCCTCCACTACTACCCCGTTCATCAACTCCTCCACCTCCATAGTCTGCCCCTTCACTAACTCAATCACCACCACCTCCCCCACCCAAGTCTCTACCTTCTCCACCTCCTCCACCTCCTCCACCTCCTAGGTTTTCTCCTTCACCTTCACCGTCGCCCTGTCCACCACCTTTGTCGCCCACACCTCTACCACCCTGGCCATCACCTTCTCTAGAACCCTAACCACCTCGGTCTCCACCGCCTCTTCCACCTCCATCTCCACCTCCTCGGTCACCTTCACCACTACCACCCCGATATTCGCCGCCTCCTCTACCACCTCGATCTCCGCCTCCATAACCACCCTAATCTCCGCCTCCTCCACTACCTCAATCTTCGCCTCCACCACCACCACCCCGTTCACAACCTTCTCTACCTCCTCGGTCTACCCTTCTACCAATTGAATCACTACCACCACCACCACCACCACCACCACAACCCAAGTCTCCACCTCCACCTCCACCTCATTCACTACCACCTCTCACCAATCAAACCATCGCAAAAAGTCTGAATACGTCCGTTCCATTCTAGGGTTTACGCGACAACTGCTTGCGCAAGACTTAAACTTCAATTAGAGAGCACATCTCATCAATCCATAAATAACACATTATCATTTTTTCAATATTCAAGTGATCAAAAACCTAATACCACCCCAATTAAGTTTTTCGTTTGGATCAATGTTTTAAGTCAAGTTAGAACAAACTCAACAATCCACATAAGCATGAGTATCATTAAAATGAAGAAGATAAGGAACATAACCATAACACATGAAATACCATACCAAGACATGATCATAAACTAATAAGTATATTCATGTACACAAGAGCACAAAACACCAATGCAACACTAAATTTCCAGATTCAATACCATTTAAAGATTAAAATCAAAAGGGCTATTTCAGATATTTCCCGAACCTAGCCTTCCTATGGTTCGTAGAGATTTCAATCTAGTTTTCAGAACATGTTTCGGAAATGTGATAGCTTTTCTAGATTTTTAGTTATTTAAGAAATACTCCAGCGTTGTCCAGATTCGTCGATCGTTACAAAAATCAAATTTTTCTCACTAACCGCTCACTCGTTTTCAATGAAACCAATTTTAGTTAAAAGATAAATCCTTAAGGAAGATATTGACATAAAATGGAGGTCCAAAAGATTTTTATACATTTTTGTAGAAATTTCAAAAGTTGGATGAAAAACTGATTTTTCTGGCACAGTTCTTGAAAATAGAAATTTGGTGAGGAAAGAGGTCAACTAGGGAAAATTTTTCACTTATCTTGTGATGAAAACTTGCTAAATAATATGTATTGAACTCAGAAATATAAGGTGAAGGTGTGCCCTTTGGAAATTTTGAGAGTTTGATATAGAAAATATAGTCTTGTACCGATTAAGAGGAATACATAAAGGGTAGAATCAAGGCTTAACTTCTTTCATTTCTAACACAAGAATACCATCAACCACATCTGAAATGAATGTTTAAAACTTCCAAGAGCATGTATTTGAAAAAGAAAAATAAAAGAGAGAGTTGTGCTATGGCTTACTTGAGGGTTGTTGGAATTGCTAGCAAACTTCTTCTCCTATCTTCTCTCACTTGAATATAGTGTGGGTGCATGTGTGGGTGTATATATGTGCTCAACAAATGGGGATGAGTGGTATTTATAGAGAATTTGGTGTGAAAAGTCCCAAATGCCCATTGGTTCCAATTCAATTGAATAGTGCCTTGATTTAGTTTAAATGTAATGGAATGAGGGAGGATTAGAACCTTAATTATGTATTTAATTATGATCTAGTTAGTTTTAGGGCTAATTTAAATACCTTCTAGTTAGAAGTACACTCATATATATAGAAAATCTTTATAGGTACCAAGGTCGTTATTGCCCCAAGATTTCAAGGGATTGTTTGTACTAAAGTACAATGATTATAGCCTAGGAGGTATGATGGTTAGCTATGTGATGGTGAATTGATGGACTTGTTTTATATATATATATATATATTTTGTGTACAAATCTTGGAAATTATAAAATATAATGTTAAAAAAAGATTTTAGGGTACAAGTGTATATATAAATATATAATGGTTACTTGTTTCAGGTCAATTTGTGATTTAATAAAAATGTGAGGGCTTGGGCTCAATTAAAGTATCTATTTCAAGTGTAGAGTTAATAAATTAGTGTTAGGAAAAATAATTCGATTTGTATTATCTTGCTTTGAATTTAAAGGTAAATAACCGAACGAAGATTGTGAAAACCAGAAGTTAAGGTTTAGAGCGATTAATCTAAAATTTGAGAGTTAAATAATTAATATGAGAATGTTAGAAATGATTTCTAAGCTTCCAGGGTCGATTAGGGTTTGTATGGGTTCGTCCGTGATGCGTATTCGGTTCTAGGGTTAAATTTGCGAACAATCAATGAATTAAGGGCTTTATTATAATAACTCAAAATTTAGGGACCTAATAAGGTTTACAAAATTTAGGGGTCTCACAACCTATCCCCCTTAAAATAAATTTCGTCCTCGAAATTTCAAGCATTCTTCATGTCTCAAATGTTGTGGGCAATTAGCCGGATTATCTTGTTCTCTCAAGTTCTTCTTCCTTTGTCCAAGCCACCATTGGTCTCGTTCTAATAATGGCGTTTTGAATCAAATTTCTCCCCAATTAATGACGTTATGAGATAAGCTAATCTCCCGCGCTTCTTGAACTATTCACTATATAGGTAATGACGTTGTTGCTCCAGTGTGAGGGCTTGTACTGTTAATTTCCTGATGTGACGATCTACACTTTCCATTGTGTTTGTTGATTTGTTGAATCATTAATCTATCCCCCTTAAATAGTAAAAGCATTCCATTGGATAGGTAAGTCATCTCCTTCTTTTGGTAACTATCGATAATTGCTAAGGTACGAGTAATGAATCTATTTCTAAGATGAGGTCGGAGTCGGGTGCCTCGAAAATTGCACAAATAATTCCTATGTCCTAACACATATTGCAGATATGAAGGAATGCAACAAATAAAATGTGTACCCAAAAGTTCTAAGACTGGATTAAATAAAGAAAATTTACACCATCTACGTTCAGGTTACAAAAAGTCATTCCAAAGGAGTTCTAACTGCTTAGTTACATTTTTCTAGGTTAACCAAGGCTCGTATTGCAGTTCCTCGGGTTCATATGTGTTGTATTTCTCGCTCTCAGGGTACTGCTTAGTGAGGTCTTCATCTTCTTCTCCTTGTAGTGTAAATATCCTGCCAGTTGGCCTCTAATTATTATTGAGCCCAGGCCTCTTGTTGCCTCATTCTATCTGGTATTGTTGACTGGCTGGACCTAGCTTGTTCTTCCATGTCTTCTGCTCGTCAATCCCTTGTGCATTTGTTTTCGTACCTTTTCCTTGATTTCCTGACTGGACGAGTTGGAGACACTCATTCTTCTTGTGCCCCAGTTGTTGACAATAGTAACACTAGATCGGCCAAGCTGATCTTGTTTGAAAGCTTTCCTTCTGGTACTGCTGTTGCAGTTGTTGTTGTAGTTGTTGTTGTTGTGGTGGTGCCCTAGAGTACGGTTTTTGTACTGCATGTCTTCGGCTGTTTCTTTTTGGTCCCACATCGAATTGACTTTCTTTCTTTAAGCTCCAAATCTGTCTAGTATCTACCATCTCCTGTTCTGCGTCTAGTGCTGTGTCCATTACATCTGCAAAAGTAGGAAGTTGCAAGGGCAAAACCCTTCCTCTGATTATAGGGTCTAGACCCCACTCAAATTTTCGTGCTTTTTCTTTGTCATCGGCTACATATCGAGTTGCATAACGAGCTAATTCCTCAAACTTCGCCACGTATTGGGTCACCGTCATCGTGTCTTGCTCTAGCAATTGAAACTCACGAATTCTTTCCTGTCTAACAATGTGTGGGAAATACTTCCTCAGAAACGATTCTTTAAATTGCACCCAAGTCATAGTCGTGATGTCCCTAGATTCGTTGATTAATGTCCACCAATGGTCTGTCTCACCTTCCAACTGGTAAACGGCTAGAGCGATCTTGTCTGTATGCTTGACTATTCCCATTGTCTCCAGCATCTTCTCAATTTGTCGAATCCAATTTTCAGCGATCTTAGGATCAGGCTCACCAGTGAAGATCGGCGGTCTCTGTTTGCGAAATTCAGAGAATAGATGTGTCCTCTCATTCTGACGTGTGCTCTTCAGCCTTTCTAATTCTTCCAAAATTTGATTTTCGATATTCCCGGGTAGGTTGGCTGTGGGTGTAGGAATGTGATTATTGATCCCAGTTGTCCCGTTCCTATTAATATTGACGTCATCGTTGTGGTTAGTGTTGTCGTTGGTACCAGTGTCATTGTTTGCTTGTGTGTGGTTCTCCATCTGCCAATGTACAGTTAGGTGCAGGTTAGGGTTTTACTAACGCGGTTAGTTAAGGGAATTACTAAGGTGAAATGCTTCTAATTAAAGTAATTCATATTATGCTTCCTAACATTGTCCTACTCAACTACCGATTCCGTCGCCATTCTTAATCATTTTGGACAAACTACATGTCTTGATTTATTGATCAAGGTTCTCCTTCTTCATTATGAAAGTTTGGTTCTGTTGGTCTTATATTCAGATGCTTTCTTCAGCTCCTTGATTCCAACTAGAGCACCACTATACAACTTCACGAGCCGACGTTGCCATGCCTGAAATTCGAAGAAACGTCCTAAGGTCGGTTAAGCAAAATTTGATTTTTAATGTCTTTCAGTTGACAGAGTAAATAGTGTTGTAATAATATAGCATAGTGGAGGCAGGGAAATCTCTAACCGCAGGTCGAAACGCATGGGTAAGGGTTGAACCTAGGCTCTGACACCAAGTTGTGACGCCCCAAAAGTCAAGAACATCAGATAATATATTAACCATTAAATATAGGATTTATCTAAGGTTATAAAAGTAAGAAACGTCACTAATAAGTCATTTGGATAATAACCAAGCAAGATCCCAAGAAGGTCGGAGGAGTCAAAATAGCCTCCCTTCAAAGTCCAACCACCTTAGATAGCAAAGCTACCTTTTTGACAGATCTCGACTAGGTATTAACACAAGGCCGACATGAGTTGACGGGGTATAAGGATAGGTTACAAATGTTATATGTATACAAATTACAAATCATGTCTTAAATACAACATGGGATCTATCACTTACAATCTCAAACACAGTTACAAACTAGTTTCTAATCCTCCTAGGGGCAGCCGTACGTCCTCAAATGCTTCAGCTTTGCCTTCGACCAGTCTAATAGTCTTTAGTACCTAGCATGAAATGCCATGAGCTTTGAATGCCCTGTAAACGCACACACACCCCGTCCTTTTTTCCCAATCCAATACACCATCACATTTATAGCAAGCAAGTAGTGAAGCATGATATTCAAGTCAATAACAACAATTTCAGTAATAGAGGAAAGGAACATGTCATTCAAATAGATAACAAAGGTTATAACGTTAGTGGTTAGTATTATAGAAATCCCCCCAAAAGATTTCATCCTCCCAACAACAAGAATTGGACAGCGGACTATTCGAAACTCCCCATTTTGCTGCTTTGTTGCAGAACTAATCTCGGATGCCTACTAACGGTTATATACCACGTAGCGCCAACCGCAGGGCCTCAAAAGGGACAGCAAAAAGAAAAAGGTTTTATCTCCTGAATCCAACCTTATCCTTCAAAAAAAGTTTTATCCTCCTGAATGTCTCATCCGGACCCAACCTTATCTCACCAATCAAACCATCGCAAAGAGTCTGAATACGTCTGTTCCATTCTAGGGTTTACGCGACAACTGCTTATGCAAGACTTAAACTTCAATTAGGGAGCACATACCATCAATCCATACATAACACATTATCATTTCTTCAATATTCAAGTGATCGAAAACCCAATACCACCCCCAATTAAGTTTTTCGTTTGGATCAATGTTTTAAGTCAAGTTAGAACAAACTCAACAAGATAGTAATATCTACATAAGCATGAGCATCATTAAAATGAAGAAGATAAGGAACATAACCATAACACATGAAATACCATACCAAGACATGATCATAAACTAATAAGCATATTTATGTACATAAGAGCATAAAACACCCATGCAATACTAAATTTCCAGATTCAATACCATTTAAAGATTAAAATCAAAAGGGCTATTTCAGATATTTCCCGAACCTAGCCTTCCTATGGTTCGTAGAGATTTCAATCTAGTTTTCAGAACATGTTTCAGAAATGTGACAGGTTTTCTACTTTTTTAGTTATTTAAGAAATGCTCCAACGCTGTCTAAATTCGTCGATCGTTACGAAAATCAGATTTTCTCACTAACCGCTCACTCGTTTTCAATGAAACAAATTTTAGTTGAAAGATAACTTCTTAAGGAAGAAATTGACATAAAATGGAGGTCCAGAAGATTTTTATACATTTTTGTATAAATTTAGAACATGTTTCGGAAATGTGACAGGTTTTCTACTTTTTTAGTTATTTAAGAAATGCTCCAGCGCTGTCTAAATTCGTCGATCGTTACGAAAATCAGATTTTCTCACTAACCGCTCACTCGTTTTCAATGAAACAAATTTTAGTTGAAAGATAACTTCTTAAGGAAGAAATTGACATAAAATGGAGGTCCAGAAGATTTTTATACATTTTTGTATAAATTTCAAAAGTTGGATGAAAAATAGATTTTTTTTGGCACAGTTCTTGAAAATAGAAATTTGGTGAGAAAAGAGGTCAACTAGGAAAAATTTTCCACTTATCTTGTGATGAAAACTTGCTAAATAATATGTATTGAACTCAGAAATTTAAGGTGAAGGTGTGCCCTTTGGAAATTTTGAGAGTTTGATATGGAAAAATGTAGTCTTATACCGATTAAGAGAAATACAAGAACGGTAGAATCAAGGCTCAACTTCTTTCATTTCTAACACAAGAATACCATCAAAACACATCTAAAATGACTGTTTAAAACTTCTAAGAACATGTGTTTGAAAAACAAAAATAAAAAAGAGAGTTGTGTTGCGGCTTACTTGAGGGTTGTTGGAATTGCTAGCAAACTTCTTCTCCTATCTTTCGCCAAGCTCACTCTCCTCCCTCTCTTCTCTCACTTGAATATAGTGTGGGTGTGTATATGTGTTCAACAAATGGGGATGAGTGGTATTTATAGAGAATTTGGTGTGAAAAGTCCCAAATGCCCATTGGTTCCAATTCAATTGAATAGTGCCTTGATTTAGTTTAAATGTAATGGAATGAAGAAGGATTAGAACCTTAATTATGTATTTAATTATGATCTAGTTAGATTTAGGACTAATTTAAATACCTTCTAGTTAGAAGTACACTCATATATATAGCAAATCTTTATAGGTACCAAGGTCATTATTGCCCCAAGATTTCAAGGGATTTGTTTGTACTAAAGTACAATGATTATAGCCTAGGAGGTATGATGGCTAGCCATGTGATGGTGAATTGATGGACTTGTTTTATATATATATATATATATCAAATCTTGGAAATTGTAAAATATAATGTTAAAAAAAAGATTTTAGGGTACAAGTGTATATATAAATATATAATCATACTTGTCTGGGTACTTGTTTGGGGTCAATTTGTGATTTAATAAAAATGTGAGGGCTTGGGCTCAATTAAAGTATCTATTTCAAGTGTAGAGTTAATAAATTAGTGTTAGGAAAAATAATTCGGTTTGTATTATCTTGCTTTGAATTTAAAGGTAAATAACCGAACGAAGACTGTGAAAACCAAAAGTTAAGGTTTAGAGCGATTAATCTAAAATTTGAGAGTTAAATAATTAATATTAGAGTGTTAGAAATGATTCGTCGATTAAGGTTTGTATGGGTTTGTCCGTGATGCGTTTTCAATTCTAGGGTTTAATTTGCAAGCAATCAACGAATTAAGGGCTTTATTATAATAACTCAAAATTTAGCGACCTAATGAGGTTTACAAAAGTTAGGGGTCTCACATGAAAGGTACTGGCACACCACATTCTCAGCACGACCAATTCTCCAAGCACTAGTTGGGAGGTAATAGTACCCCTTATTCTTAGCGCAAGCACAATTCTAACCCTCATATAATTCAACAAACATAGATAATCCGAGTGTACTACATATACATAATCTATTCAACATCACAATGTCATCCTCCACCGATGACCAAGGACAAAACCTCTAGGCATAAGTATTTAAATACACGTAATATGATAAATCGATACTCCCTTGACTTTAAGTCTAACAACAATAATAATTACAATATTCAAAAATTTTAAAATCCAACCTCAAGTTCAAATCTAGATTTTCAATGCACCATGGTTTATTTCTCTTTTCAAAATCAACTATTTTATTTTCCGAAAACAAATTTCAACATTTCAATAGAACCACATCTAAGGATTTCCAAGCCAAATCCCATCTTAACTTAACATGATTATCCAAATAAATTCCCAATACCATAATTTATTCACCCTTTATACTAGCAACACAATAATCGCAACTCTTTAATCAACTTTACCCCTTTTAGTTCGTTAGATCAAATTATCAAAATTAGGGCTTTCTCTTCCTCTTACCATAAACACATTAAACCACTCCCCAACTAATCAAATGACAACCAATTTAATCAGTTTGAAACCCAAAGATCAAACCCTAGATCCACAATAGATGTGATTTTTACATAACAAAATCTACCACATGTCTATCTATAGACGGAGTATTGAAAAGGAGCAAAAGAATCCCTACCTCAAGCAATGAAGAGAAGAAAGCCCGAAAATCCATCTTCAACAAAAACACGATCCGCTCAGATTAAATGGAAGCGCTCGTCGAGCTCTACGTTTTGGTATATGGAATTAGGGGTCAAAGATGTATAAAAGTAGATGAAAACTAGGTAAAAAGAGCTTGAGAGCTCAACAATGGCAGAAGGAGAGAGAAGGGAGAGAGAAACATGACCCAGATGTGACCAAAAGTGACTTTTATAGTTGCTGAATTTAGACAGATCGCTCGAGCGCAAGAAGTATCACTCGAGCGAACAAAGTAACCGCTTGAGCGCACAATGACACCTCCTAGAAGTTCAAACCACACAAGGTAATTCGCTTGAGTGACCAAACCTGCGCTCAAGCGAAGATCAACAGCTCTCAAAATCACAGACCAGCAAAAGTACTGGAAGACTTGAAAGACTACTCGAGCGATGAAGAAAAACTCAGAGTACTACAACGATTTTCCCTCAACCAAATCCTCATCCTAACTTTAACCCCTCTTCGATTCGCTCAACCCAAAATCCCTCCATCTGCAACAATAACCTTTCTCTCTCTTTCTTAATCGATTTATGGGAAAGCCTTAACTCTCTCTCTCTCTCTCTCTCTCTCTTTCTCTCT